TCAAGGAAAATTTAATTCTCAGTGACGGAAATAAGAGCTCTGTTCAAGATGAGTTGCCACAATAAAATTGACAGAAAAGAAAAGAAATATGGACTGTTTATCAATAAGGTGACTGCAAACTACTGTATGTATTTCAAACTTAACCGTTTTCATAGGCCTCAAAATTAGATGCACCATTAATGGTAACTAGAACAGGCTAGAATTAGAAGGTAGACGCCAGGAATTTCTCTTGGCACCATGTAAACAGGACAAACACATCCGATTCTTTATGAACATTGTACCATATTATGTGTAATGTTCACCCGTAAACTCTTGTGTCCCGAGTCTTCTTCAATCAACTGAGAACAAAGGTCAACAAATTCCTTTCACTGTAGCGATCAATAGAGCACAAATGGTTAGTGCTGAATGGCTCGTGACCAACTTCTGGATCATCCATATGCATCAGGCCTCACTGATCATACCCCTGGTGCGCTTCCCACAGATCAAAAGGCCAGGTGTTGTATGATATGGAAATGACCAAAGCGATTGGCCACAAGCTCTTCTGTCCAAAGGCAGCATGTCCGCCTCATAACATCTAAGCACACCAACAAGAATAACACTAATAAAAGCTCAAATTATTTATTTTGCTTATGGGCTGCTGTGTCAAAGGTATCGGCAGGATTATGCACAGCCTGTTACCAAAGGAACATCCTCTGCTTTCATGAGTTTTATTAAACCATCTTTAACTACTTGAGGATGCAGTGAGTCCTTGAAAACTTTATTGCAATAATGTTTGCATGTGACGGTTGTCACAGGCAGCCTAATTTGAAGAAGAATTAAATATGATTTCTGCTCAACACCTTTTAAAACAGACCGCTAATGAAAGGATCTCAGATGTACAGTAAAGTTTCTCAAGTGTCTCATTGCATTTCCACTTTAACATTTAATTAACAACTTCACTGCATGTGCCACTGAGTCTTGTGAAAATACCAAGTGTGAACTCATTTAACTTGTTTCTAATGCAAATGAAGTTATTTTCAGAATTTGGTAAATGACCTATTCCACTAAGTTTTTCAAATCTTTTTGAAATTAAATTATTTAAGAGTCAACATCCATCTTCTTCAACAAGCACTGATCCTGGAGATGGTTAGCTAAAGCCCAGCACAAAGACCGGTTCTGTTTAAAAGTAAAATCTGTGTATCAGAACTTTTAAAAGCTCATTAATGAAACTATTATATTTGGTTTGTTAAATCTTTGCCAAACACATAAAAATGGCATCACAAAATATCAAATTTCTTCCTTAAATGTTGTTACACAGAGTCGTTGGTGGTAGAAAAGGAAAAACATTTGGTGACTCACATATGATGATGCTTATAAAACAGAGAGGAGTGAGAAAGCAGCCTTAAGTGTGGAGAGAAGGAACAGTGGAGATCTAAACTTTCAGCCGAGGTCTGAAAAAACCCCAGAACAACAATAAGCCTCCAGTCCATCCCATCTCTGACATACTCTGTGCGTACTTGTCAACTTTCAGAAAGAACTATCTGCTGCAGAAACAGTTGAATTCCTTCAAGTCTTTCACCACCTTCAGTCCCACATACCCTCTCCAAAACACAGTAACAAATTAGAATTAATTACTGCCTCCACAAACCAGTCAAGTGCCTGTTTTCTGCATCAGTATACTCATAAGAATGAATTGATCCCTAGTGGGAAATTCACAAGCTAATCAGCAGTAATTCAAATTATAAGTACTGTATATAAGGCAGTTAATTAGCTCCACCTTTACCAGCTGCAACATTAAAGTGACAAAAATCATATACATCAATGTAAAATGTGCTAATAATGATTAGTTTTACTTTTGGTACTTTCAGTATATTTCAGTACTAACACATTTAAGTAACATTTTGAATCTAGTACTTTTACTTTTAAGAAATTATTTTTACATTGTAGTATTGCTACTTTTACTTTAGTAAATAATCCGAGTACTTCTTCCACCACTGATTGCAGAGGACTGACAAATTTCTCACATTGTCCTTGAATCCAAATTTGAATCCTCGGCTGTTGCTGGTGTTTATAATGTTGTGACTGCGAACTTAAGTTCATTCTCTAAATCCTGCTGTGATCCATTGCTTTCATATAGCTGAATGGCTGAGCAACCCAGAAAGAGCTTCCTGGACTTGTTTCATAACAAATGACTGTTTTGAGCTGCCACAGCCCTACTGTGCTACAGAGCAAGTCACCAAATCCATCAATGTGCACAACAGGCCTTTCAATAATGAATAAGATAGAGGCTGAGAAGCTAATCGCTCACTGAAATGCCAGTGGTGGTGAATTCCAACAGGACAGCTTATAAGACACCATCCAGAGAAGGTGTCGGCTGATATTAAAACCCTGAATCTAACAAGTGGACTGTATTCCCCCTGCTGTTGAGGTCTGTACTTAGTCAGGATTGGGATTAGCAATTTAACCAGAGTCTTAAAAAAATAATAATAAAATATCCTGAAATCAACAGGCATGAAGCTATTATTCAAGTTTAGTTTTACAGATTCAGATCAGTTTTTCCTTTAATCCTGCTTTGAGAAACGTGCTCCAGGTTTGACACAAAGATTGAGATAAGAGACCAGTGAGGGAGAGAGAATATGACACTGGTTTACAATAGCATTTCTTCACTGAGCTCCAAAACCAAGAGTTTATTCTTTTTAAGAAGTGATCCATAGTTTCTTCCCCTCAGTGACCTCCTGCCTTTTACTTCACACTCTAATCCCTCCTTCTCTTTTCCTCTAATTTATTTCTCCTCCTTCATTCCCTTCCTCTCTCTTGTCCTTCAGTCTGTCCACCTCCTCCCTCCCTGGACCATCTGCGTGGTGACGCATTTAGAAGACAGGGGATGCAAACCAGAACCGAGCTCAGCCAATCACATCATTTACCAAATCTCAGTTTCCATGGAGAAGAAACAACCGGCAAGAGGGAAGCCGAGGGGGGGAATAATAATCAATGATTCCCCTTGAGCACAGCTTGGGGGCCATGTTGGACCTGAGCTTTGGCACATCAAGGCAATGAAGATGGAGTGGATATTGTGGTCTCAGAATTTCACAGCAGCAGAGTTTTTTTTTCCTCAACATACAAAATATGACTGAACATTTCCTTCCGCCCTGCGTGAATTGTCCTGCCTCAGCTCAGGCTGGGTGACAACATCATCTTGCTCTGAGATTTGTATGGCACAGAGTGGATATGAAGCAGGCTGCAGAGGCAACAAGAATGAAACCAGGACAGCAAAAGTGATGGTGCTCCATGAAATGCCAAATACTCCATAAAACGGTTTGAGTCTCATCTGCACACCACCAGACTCAATTGTCTACACCTGCCATTGTCACATAAACTAGCATGCATACGCAAGATAAACAAAAATGAATATGCACATGTAAACATTAAGGGGGATATGGCTGCCACCTGTCGGTGATTCTGCTGAAGTTCACCCAGTCACCTTGCTGTTTTCCCCCTGTGATGCTACAGCGGCCTCATTCATCCTCTCTGCAGCTGCGAGCGGATGCTCTCCTTAACCCCAGCATGACTCAGAGGCCGGCGTGTCTGGTGAGCCTATTGCTAATATAAATACAGTCTTTATATTGTAGAAGGAACTCCAAGCAATCCAGTGGACCCAGGTTTATGTGGAGAACAACAAAGTGTTAAATTAAAATTGAAGTACGTTGTTTCAGGAAATGTCTTTGAATAGACACAAGTGTAGTAAAAGCCAGAATGTGCAGGTCAACGTCTGGGACATATACAGTAACGTATGGTGGTGGTTTATGTCCAATACACATAACATCACCTAGTCAAATCACACTCTAATGGAGTGCTGCAAACCAAGTCCAGCAGTGTAATTCGGCTGAAACAATCCTGCACGGTCTAATATTTTAGCATCAGACATTCATAACTTTTTCACTTATGCTGTGAACAAACCATCAAAGAGCAGCAAAAACCTAACCTCCTTGGTGGAGGTAACAAGAAGAAGAGCCTGAGAAGTGGTTGAAAGCCAGTAATTGGACCCTTTCTATTTGCTGACTTGGCTTACCTGTAACATTACATGGAGTAAAAACTGATATATCAACTACATCTCATGCAAAATGGCAAACAGACAACTAGTTTTAAGCAGATGGACATAAATAACTTAATATAACATGTTGTGAAACCTGCAATTGAGCTGTATGTCATTCAAGCCTGCCCAGATGTTCCAGTTAATGAACGCAGTGTTCAGACTGGTTATTTCACCTGATAATCCAAGATGATTCACCCACATTTGACTTTTTAACAGTCAGAGCATGAAACACCATAATAATGCACTAAAACTACAACAGGGTCCATTGTAACTCTGTGGTATTGTTGGTTTGCAGAGAGAAACAAAACTAGCGACATGGTACATCCAAACAACTCCCATCTGACACACAAACATACTATCACATCTTTTACCCGCATCTCACTGCTGCCACTCTTCCTTCCTGTTGCCACAGCAACGCGGCGCTCGTCTCAGTGTCTGCGTGACAGCACATGCTCCCATTAAAAAAACATCAGCAGAGAGCAGGAGCACACTTTCACATACTGCCACACATGCAAATCAAAACATGGTTCAAGGTGAACACCGTGGTTTCGGCAGAACAGTGATGGGAAGCAGAAGTGATATTTCCCAAAAGAAAAAACATGTAATGATACCAGGGACTCCGATTTGCTCAACAAAAAAAAAAAAACTAACTCCAAACTGAAATAACTGCTATCAAGATAAAAATAAAAAGCAAATACAGTTTTTTATTCGTTGCTTTATAAAAGTATTTAACATGTGAACTGAAGCCTGTTTTCTCTGCATGATGCAATTTTGTCTAAAGAAGCTTAAAGAACAAGATAACCACACAAACAGGCATGTACATACATCCAACTCCTGTTTTCCAAAAGCTAAGGAATAAAGCTGCAAACATGCAGGGACAGCATTGTTTAAACAGGACGATAACATTAAAAACAAAATGTGTTCATACCTCACAGTTGCGTCCCGTGAAGCCCTGGCTGCAGGTGCAGGTGTACTTCCAGGTGTCCTCTGGCCTCCCAGTGGCGGGGAGGGTCAGGCAGAAGCCCCCATTGAGGCAGGGCCGGCCGTCACAAGGGTCCGGACGAGGTGTGGCCTGGGTCAGGGTGGGCTCAGCCGGGGCCGGGGTGTCTGGGGCCAGCAGGAACGGGGAAGGGATGGCCCCGATGTCGCTGCTGCTGAGAAGGAGGAGGAGGAGAAGCAGGGGGGAGGTGAAGCTTCGTACAGTCAGAGTGGGATAGGAGCGGAGAACTGCCGGCACACTGCACACATTCATCTTCATCCTCTTTGTCTTGTTTCTTTTCTTCTCTCTTTTGTTAATCGTCTTTCTCTTGCTTCCTGAGAGCTACCGTTCGTGCTGGCTACGCTCAGCCAGCAAGTGAGAGATGTGTGAGCGACTGTGTGCGAGAGAAAGGATGCTGAGCCTCAGCTGTGCGCAGAGAGAATGACTGAGAGGAGACTGGCTGATGGTGGTGAGGCTGAGGGAGAGAAGGTAGGGATGCGGGAGGAGAAGGGGAGGGCACTCGGCTCCTTTTTCTCTCTGAGTCACAGTGATGATGAAGGCTGACGACACTCTCACACACACACACACCATCCACCAACACCTCTGCCTTCATACACACACCCCCTCTCTCTTTTCTCGCAGACACACTGTGCAGAGTAGCGGAGGAGCTCTGCACCTCCTCATTTAGAGTCTCATCATTCACAACCTCTCCTTGGAGCCAGCCTTGCAACAAGGTTGAAAGGAAGGAGGGAGGATGCTGCAGTTGGGGAAGACAAACAAGGAGGAGGAGCAGCAGGGGTGGTGGAGAAAATCCTCATTAGCCTTGTCTCAAGATGAACTGTTTTCCAGTGATAACAGCCAGCATCCAAAACCACAGGTGCAGTTTTAATTGAGTACACAAAACCTCTCGTCTGATGCACTGCTTTGTTAAAAGTCCTACAGCACGTGGTCACCGAGGTTTCCATTTGACTTAATAACCTATTACATAGCATTGGTTTGTCAAGGACACAGAACATTAAAGGGTAAATCCACAAAATATACATGTCAAAGTCATAATACTGATCACAGTAGTGTGAAGTAATCTGTGAAGACAGCTGTATAATGTACAGCACCAAAACAAATTATTTACCTTTTATTTTGTTACAACATTGTCATGATTGATTTGGTTTCGCTTTAACACTGATCAACCAAAAGTCTCATGTCAAAGAGAAAGCAGACCTCTACAAAATAAGTCTAAATTAGATAAAAATTTAAGACAAAGTAGCTGGCTGCATAAATATTCAAACCCTTTAAAAGTGACTCACCTGAGTCGTCACTGGTGCAGCCAAATGGCTTTAGAAGTCATACAAACACACCTGCATGTGGAAGGTCTAACTGGTGAATCAGTATCCTGCCAACTACACCATGAAGACAAAAGAACACTCGAAGCAAATCTGTGAAAAGGTTCTTGAAAAGCGCAAGTCAAAAGATGGATAGAAGAACATTTCCAAGTCACTGAACATCCCTTGAACTAAATCCTTAAAAAATGGAAGGAATAGGGGCCAAGCTTGAGTCTGGCCATCCTCAAAAACTGATTGATGGTGCAAGAAAGGGACTAGTGAGGGAGGCCACCAACACACACATGACTTCCAACAGGGGGGTACTTTTTAATAGGCATTTGTTTTGTGGCTCCTCTGTTAAAGACAAGATTGCTCAAGCGGCACCACCTGAAAAATTTGTTACTCAGTATGGGGCTTAGGGCGTGAAAAACAGATTTATAATAAAAATCCAAACTTGCGGTGCAGAGTTTAAAAGATGAGGGCTTTTAGAAATGAGGTGAATTTGAGTTGCATTATGGGAAATGTAGTATCAAGGATTTAATGGGGAGAGCTAAAACCATACTAGGGACATAAATTCAGAATATCTCTTGTGCCAGTCCAATACTAAAAGGCTGTGAATCTTTAATTTGTAAAAATGTGTAATCCCCCCCAAAAAAACCCCACTTCAACAGCACTGCTCTACTACGCTTCAATGAGAAGAAGCACAAGTTTAGTAGGTTCTTTTTTGTCTATTAGAATCTAGATGCAGTTGTTGGCTTTGCACTCTGACCTCAACTTTTCCATTTGTACGAGTATTCCCACAGTGCAGTAAATCTGTCACGCCACTGCAGTCTGTTCACTGAACCCAGGTACTGCAGAACACCACAAACTCAAAGAAGCATGTTGCTGGTTGAGCTAATGGAAAAACCAGCATGCAGAACACCGAGACTCCTCTTAGATGACACAAAAAATATTTGCTTACAATAAACGTGAACAGAAACAAACAGAAAATCCATGTGGGTCTTCAAGTGTTACTGAAAACAGTACCACAAAAAAAAAAAAAAAAAAAAATTGTGATGATTAAAACATTGTGTTGTTAAAGGTACTCCTAAGCTCGTTTTTAAGTTTTGAAAAACAGTGGTAGGTAAACATCCAGCATCTTTGTTCAACTCTGCTGAGACCTGAACAGTTTAGGACTACAGCATCAGGATTTGTCCTGTAAAATTTATCTGATTAATAATCAGCTTTACAACTGAAAACTGCTCAAATCTACAAGTAAAAATGATCATTAACATTAAAGTGACAAAACAAAGAAAGGATGGACAAATAAAACTAACAGTGAACAAAGATGAGTCAAACAGTTACTTTATTTATGTTCAGGTAAAAACATGAACCTGATGCAGTAAATTATTGCAGATCTTAGAAACCAGCACATGAACGATTGGGCCAGGAGAGCATACAGTGGCGCCCTCCCCTGGCCACAGACTGCAGGTGCACGCCACGGTTTGTTCCAAGCCAGCAGTGCAAAGAAAAAAAATAATCAACTACAGCAAGAAAATGAAGACAATATAGAAAATTAAAAAAAGAAAAAGGTAAAGCAGACATTCCCACCTCAAACAGGGTGTGAAACTGCAAATAAACTTTATTCTGTAAATGAACTTGAAATGCTATCTGCCCATGAAAAGGTAAAATGAGACCAGCCAAATTTTGTGCCCAGCTACATTAATTGTGTTGATGGTTGCTCAGAGCTTGGTCTACCAAGATAAACCTACATCTTCGGTAGGGCCCAACAAAAAGACACCAACACTATCAAAATAAGAGCAAAATAAATTTACCTGATCAACACACTTGTTACAACTCTCCATTTGAGCTGAAGCTCTTTATAATAAAGGAGGCCAGAACGCAATCTCAACCTGGGTAGAGGGGGAAAAAAATACAACCCAAAAAAAAAAAGATAATATGCGCATCATCACTACCCGCATTCAACCAATGGCAACTCTCATATCAACAACTTCAAGCAAAGACACATGGGGGGGAAAGCCGAACCAAAATGCAACATACAACCTGGGGCCAATATAATACAGAAGAAAATGCAAACAGACGAACTGAGGGGAAGAGACATGAGAACAAAGAGCTATTCTATCAAATGTGTAGAATGAGCAAAGTCTGCAAATTTGTCTGTACAAATGATCTTTGGAGCTAAAGTAAACCTAGCTTGCTTGATGGACCCCCCTCCCCGACGCCCAGTGACACTGTCCACTGCTTGAGAGAGAGAGAGAGAGATGTCCCTTTTTTAAATATCACATAGCAATGCAGTTTAAAATGTCACCCAGCTGTTTTCATTACTCAACTAATGATATAAGTTTAACTCTCTCTTTTTTATATTTTAAGTTCTGTGAGTCATGGAACACCTTTCCTTTTTTTTATCTTTTTTTTATATTTTTTGAGAGACAGGGGGCAGCAAATATATATTTAAAGTCTTAATTTTTCTGCAAGCTGCTTTCTTTAACAAGAAGGCTGTACATGTAGCCTTAATGTATGTGATTACAAAAAAACTAAGAAGGAAGTCATGATCTCATCTGTCGCTGTAGAAGGCATTTGAATGTGAGATGTGGAGAGATCAGGAAAGGTGAAAAGACTGCTGGCCCTCGCGAGCTGCAATCAACAGTTTCTCTCGCATGATCTCTATGCTGGAATAGTCAGGCAGCTTCAGGTAGTTGACACAGGTCATGACTGAGGGGAGGAAGTCATCTGGGTTCTCTGTCGACTCAAATGTCTTCCTCACAATTGTCAGAGGGGGGTTCAGGCTCCGGAAACCTGAGAGACACAAACGCCACCAGGGTGAGTGTGCAGCAAATGTACACAAATGTGCAAATGGTTTGGAGGGACGTCTTTTTTTTTTTTTATATACTGAAAAAGAAACTTAGAAATGAGATTCATCTCAGGCAAGTTCTGAAGTGTGTTTTTGCTATCATTTCTAAGTGGCTTTATAAATGTTTTTCAGTATGGAAAGCTGAGATGATATCCAAAATCAACATGTATTTCATTTTTGTATTAAAACTTGATATTCTGACTCAGTTTGACTTCTCTCTTTGTACCTCCCATTCAACTCTCCTGCATCTCCTTGGAGACTCTTTGCCCATCTCTTTGTCCAGGGAACTTCCAAGTCTACTGAAGAGACTATAACCTGTACTTTTCTGATCTCTAAGGAGCAGTAAAAATTTTATTCCACCTCCCTATGTAATGCTAATCCCATCTGAATGGAATTTAATTTTAGCCCGATGTTTGACTAAAGCTGGTGCTCATTCCTAAATAAGAAGTGTGTATGAAGTGAATCACCTCCAACGGGCAGTCTTGGGCTTCCTGTGACAAACTGCAGGAAGAGTCTCTGCTGTTCAGCATCAAAGCTGCTCAACACCTCAAACAGGAACCGAACTGCACGGCTGCAGAAAAATTAGATGAAACACACAAACACAGTGCCTTAACACTAAGGTTTACCTGTACGGTGCCATTTAATGAGTAAGAAAGAAGCATGAACCCAAATGTTACGGTGCTCCACATTGAAATGGTCAGGTAAGGGTTTCTAGTTTTTGATGGTGGAAAACTGGTACAACCAGCCACTAACACCGCAGCAGTGCTGACTAAGGGGGTAGTACAATGGTCAGCGCTGGACATAACGGTTAACTGGACATGGCGTTTCAGATGAGACTCTGCAAGGGCTACCTCAGGTGACACAAAGTAATGTCATCCCGCTGTTACAGTGCACTATGAAATGCTGAGGTTCACAATAATTTTGGTAAACATCAAGCCTCAACACAGATAAACTAAGGGGAAAAAAGCTAAATGACTAAGGTTTACATGACTGTGTTTTGAGGCACCGGTTATTTCAGACTCAAGGGCCTCACCTGTCATGTGTGTATCCGTGGTCCGGCCGACAGCACTCCATCAATGTCTTGACGTCCCATGTCTCTGATTTACTGCCACACAGCAACTGGTCAAGCTACAGCAGGAGAGGAAAGAGAGTGAGCAATTAAAGAGGGTAAAACA